GACTTTAATTTGGTTTCAATTAAAACAGAAATGTGAGATGGCATTAATTTTGTTTGATTTTAAGAGAATATTTAGTGAGTTTTGATTATTTATTGCTCAGTTACAAAAACAAAATAAAAAAATAAAAATCAAAGTCAGTATTTTTGGCTTTCTTTTTTTATGATGTTTAAATTTCAATAGTTATAATATATAAATTAATACATAGTATTTCATGAATTATTCTTATTTACATGGTTATATATGATTTTTTTCCTCGAAGGGCCTGCTTTGGAGTTTGAATTTATCCCGTTGTAACTGATTTTGGGTAACACCGTTTATGAGGAGTTGGAAGAATTAGTGCTTGCTAGATTTATTGGACAATGGTTTTGGATGGTTTAAAAATCCCCAAAAACAATGTAGTGTAATTTTGATCGGCTCTCTCGACCCACCAAATCGGTGATTTTTTACCGTTTCTCATATTATCTTTTAATGTTATACTTTATAAAATAATTATTTCCAACAAACATATTTTGTTTAATACTAACTTATAAATAAAAGTATACTAACTAAAAAAATTATTTATAAGCAAAAAAGTATACTATAATTAAAAAATTACTTATAAGATAAAAAAAATATTTTTGTGTAAAAATTTTACTATTAAGAGAAAAAATCACTTATAAAATATAAAGTTACTTATAAGTAAAAAAAATTGTTCATGTTTAAAAATTATTTAAAAGTACAAAATTAACTTGTAATATATTAAATTTATATATAACTAATATATTAAATTTATATATAACTAAGAAATACTAACATAAAATTTTAAGTAAATATTTAACTTTATAAGTAAAATATCACATATAAGTTAAAAAAATTCTTTCAAAGAAACCATAATCTCAAAATTTCACTAAATGATATATATGTAATTTTACACTTTTAAAAAATTTCAGAATACGTGAATAATAAACTCCCAAACATGGGTTTGACTGTTTTAAAAAGTTCTTCTAAAACCACTTATAACTGGTTCGCTCATAAAAGTTTAAATCGGTACTTTAAAAAACGCTCATAAATGCTGTAAAAATAATATTTAAAAATCAGTTAATATAAAAAATAGTTAAAAAAAAACTGTTTATGTGAAATGAACTTTTTATACGATTAAATTATTTATTTACGTGTTTTATAATAATTAATATTAGTTTATATATATCCTACCATAATTCAATCAATTAATTCTTCAAGTTCATGCACACTTTCTTTATTTTGGGGGCTATTCAATTGCTCTAGAAATACTACAATTCAATTATTTATGTATGTGCATGTATACTAATTAACGTTTATTTATGGATATATAAA